TTGGCCGAAACTTACATGATCTTTAAATTCACATGGAAATGCAAGAGGCCTAAGATGGATTATAAAAATCTTTAAAAATAAGTTGGAGAGGGGCCAGTAGTGTGGCATAGTAGGTTAAGCCTCTACCTGTGGCGCCAGAATCCCATACAAGTGCCAGTTCATATACTACCTGCTCCTTTTCCAATCTAGCTCTCTGCTATGGCCAGAGAAAACAGTAGAACATGGCCCAAGTGCTTGGGCCCCTGTGGGAGACCTGGAAGAAGCTCCTGGCTCCTGGCCAGGATCAGCTCAGCTCTGGCCATTGCAGAGTGAACGAGCAGATGGAAGACTTTTGTTTCCCTCTCTTTCTGTCTGTAACTCCACCTCTCAAATAAATAAATAAAATGTTTTATAAAAATAAGTTGGAAGATTCATACCTCCTGATTTAAAAACTTGCTATAGAACCACAATAATCAAAACAGTGTATATTTACACATTTTCAGTTATATGATACATAAGTTCTAGAGACATAATGTATAGTGTGGGAACTGCAGCTAGTAATCATGTACTGTATACCTGAAATTTGTTAAGAGAGCAGATCTTAAGTTTCTCATCACACACACAAAAATGATAATTATCTCAGGAAATAGATGTCATTTTAGCTTGACTGTGGGAATCATTATACAAGGTATACAAGGTATATTTATATCAAAATACCATGTAATATACCTTAAGTATATACATTGTGGGGATGTGTGTCTGGTGCAGCATTTAAGCTGTCATTTGAGACTGCCATATCCCATCACTGGAGTCCTGGCTTAGTCTTGACCTTCTACTGCATGCCCTAGGGGTCAGCAGATGAAAGCTCAAGTACTTGGGTCCTTGCGACCCATGTGGCACTCTCCTGGCTTTGGCCTGGCCTAGCCCCAGGTGTTTCAGGCATTTGGGGAATAAACCAGCAACTGGAAGATCTCTGTCTCTTCCTCTCTGACTTTCAAATAAAATTAAGATTAAAAAGTATTTATATATGTATTGTTTTGGTCAATCATATCTCAATAAAGCTGGGAGAGAAGGAGGAAACCAACAAAACAGGGTGGCACTGGTGTAAGGATTAGCATATAGAATAATCAAATAAAGCTGAGAGTCCAAATAGAAATCTTTACCTATATGATCAATTAATATTTTTTAATTTTTAGATTTTATTTATTTGAGACAGAGAGACGGAAAGAGAGCGAGCGCCCATCTGCTAGTTCACTCTTCAAATGCCTGCAACAGTCAGGGCTGGGCCGGGATGAAGCCGGGATGCGGGATCTCAATCCAGGTCTCCGACACGAGTGCAGCAACCCAGCCACTTGAGACATCACTGCTGCCGCACGGTCCACGTTAGCAGTAAGCTGGTGTCAGCAGCTGGAGCCGGGAACTGAACCCAGTCACTCGATGTGCGACACGGGAGTCCTAACTGGCACCGTAAGTGCTACGCCACATACCTACCCTTGAGCTATTATTTTTTGGCAAGGATGACAACATAATTCAATGGGGCAAACAAGAGTCTTCAACAGGATAGACACACGCAAAAGAATGAAGCTGGACTTCTACTTCACACTGTATCTGGAAATTAAGTCCAAACGGATCAAAGACCTGAGAGTAAGAACTGAAACCATGAAACTCCTAGCAAACATAGGAGTAAGTCTTCATGAGCTTGGGTTACACAAAGATTTCTTATATACAACACTAAAGGCACTCGTGATTAACAAAAAGAGAGAGAGAAGTTGCACTTCATCGAATGCATAAATCTTTTGTTGCTTCAAAAGACACCATTTAAGCTAAAGGCAACAACACATAGAATGGGAGAAACTATTTACAAATCATGCATTTCACAGCAGACATTTATCTAGAATATATAATACTTATAACTCAATATTAATGTGACAATAATCCAATTAAAATGGGCAAAATATATGAAAAGACATGTTATAAAAGAAGACATATGGAAGGCTAATAAGCACATGAAAAGAAGTTCAATATCATTGATCACCAGGAAAACGTAGACCAAAACTTGAGATACCATGAAACATCCACCATAATGACAATAATAAAAAAGATGGTAAGAAGTGCAGGTGAGGGTGTAGAGGAATTAGAACCCTTTCACTCTACTGATGGGAATGCAGAATGGCACACTCATCTCTGAGGACACTTGGGATAGTCCTCAAAAAGTTAAACATGGGGTGGGTGTTGTGATGCAGATTAAGCCACTGCTTGGGATGCCTGCTTCCCATATTGGAGTGCTCATTCTAGTGCTGGTTACTCCACTTCCCATCCAGCTCCCTGCTAATGTGTTTGGGAGGCAGCAGATGATGGCTGGAGTTCCTGTCATCCACGTGGGAGACCAGGATTGAGTTCCTGGCTCCTGGCTTCAGCATGGCCCAGCCCTGGCCATCGTGGGCAACTGGGGAGTGAAACAGTAGATGGAAGAGATCCTTCTCCCTCTCTCTGCCTTTCAAGTAAATCTAAAAAAAAAAAAGCTAAACTATATATGACCATATGACTCTACAATTCCATTCCTATGTATGAACCTAAGAACACTGGAAATACATGCTCACAAAACAACTTGCACATACCCTCATTGCCACATTATTCACAAAGACTAAATATTGAAAGCATCCAAATGTGTGTCAACTGGTGAACAGGTAAACAAAAGCTGGTATTGTTATGTGATGGATTATTACTTGGCAATAAAAAGGAATGAAATGATGATACATATTACAATACAGATAAACTTCAAAAATGTTAAATGAAAGAATTCAGATGTAAAAGGTCACATATTATGTAGTTCTATTCATATGAAATAGCTAGAAAAGGTCAATATACAGAGAAAGTTGTATTAGTGACTGGGTGATAGCTATGGAGAGTTGTCTGCAAATAGATATGATATCTTTTTAGGGTGACAGAAATCATTTGAAACTGGATGGTTGCTCAACTCTATAAATTTTCTAAATCAATGAGTTGTATCCTTAAAACAAATGAATTTTGGGGGGCTAGTGCTGTGGTGCAGTGGGTTAAAGCCCTGGCCTGAAGCGCCAGCATCCCATATGAGCGCTGGTTCTATTTCCGGCTGTTCCACTTCTAATCTAGCTCCCTACTATGGCCTGGGAAAGCAGTAGAAGATGGCCCAAGTCCTTGGGCCCCTGCTCCCACGTGGGAGACCCAGAAGAACCCCTGGCTCCTGGCTTCGGATCAGCACAGCTCCAGCTGTTGCGGCCATCTGGGGAGTGAACCAGTGGATGGAAGACCTCTCTCTCTGTCTCTACCTCTCTCTAACTCTCTTTCAAATAAATAAAATAAATCTTTTAAAAAAATGAATTTTGCAGTAAGTGAATTATACCTCACTAAAACTGTTAAAAATAGCTATGAAATCACACTGCAGATTTAGATGTAATCTTTTTTTTATATATATTTGGTGATTATAAGAATTACAAGAGCTTACTTTTAAAGATTTATTTATATTATTTGAAAGAATTAACCAGGGCTTTTTTTTTTTTTTTTTTTTTTTTTGACAGGCAGAGTGGATAGTGAGAGAGAGACAAAGAGAAGGGTCTTCCTTTTTGCCGTTGGTTCACCCTCCAATGGCCGCCGCGGCCGGCGCGCTGCGGCCAGCGCACCGCACCGATCCGATGGCAGGAGCCAGGCGCTTCTCCTGGTCTCCCATGGGGTGCAGGGCCCAAGCACTTGGGCCATCCTCCACTGCACTCCCTGGCCACAGCAGAGAGCTGGCCTGGAAGAGGGGCAGCCGGGACAGAATCCGGCGCCCTGACCGGGACTAGAACCTGGTGTGCCGGCGACGCCAGGTGGAGGATTAGCCTATTGAGTGGCGGTGCCGGCCCAACCAGGGCACTTTTAAAAACTAACAAAAGAAAACTTAAACAAACGAAATGCCTGTGTCTCTAGAGAAAACAGTTGAGGTAGTCAGGATTGGACAGACTGACATTTAACTCCATGCTACACACAGTCGCTCAGAGACCCAGGCTGAGCAAAGCTTAGTCAACAACAGTTTTGCCAGAGTTTGAGAAAGATTGGGAAACTGAGGGTGGCTTTTCACTGCCATTGCCCTAAAGTGACACATGTCACTTTAATTTCATCACAGCATTGCATTTGCTACCCTAACTTCAAAAGGGCAAAGATATCCAGGGGACATCAACGGATATTTTGTGAGCATTGCGGTCAGGCATCAGTCAGCTTGAGCAGGAGGCGTGGTCCCAGCTGTTTTCCACAGCTCCAATCCCAACTTCTCCCCTACCCAGTTTAGAACCACTGATCTACCACTCAGGATGGATGAGCTTCAGATTCTTTGAAACGCGTCTTGTTTCAGGGATGAAGGTAAGCAGGGTGCGAGCGCCCTTCTCGGGGTGGCTGGTGCACATTGCTTTTCTGGGAAGGGCCCTTCCCCGTCTCTTCCCCCCATGACACAGCGTCAGGCACACTACAGCAGCTCACCCGAGTGAGGACCTGAGTTTTGTCTCAGGGAAACAGGGAGGTGAAAACCTACACTCTTAATGAGGCCCCTCCCATGGCCTGCCTTCTGTTTTTGATGAAATTCCTCCAATTCAGTCAAATGCAGTAAAAAGCAGTTAAATTGTGAGGGAAAAGCAAAAGGAACCACTCAGCATGAACAATGATCACCTCTACTGCTTCAATTGCACCACAAGGAGTTTCTGTTTGAGAACTTCTCCTTGGATTGACTACCTGCTGATTCTGCTACCAATAATGTTTTTGCTTGGCCATTAGCAGATCTGTTTCCGGATTTCCTACTCTACAGAGATACACGAAATCAGGGTCCAAAGCCAATGTTAATTTTCTCTCACATCTTTTGATAATGGATCATCTATTATATCGGGTATAATAATGAACACACAAAAAACATCCATTTCATAAAAATTAGTTATTAAATGTCTCTAAATCCACATTTAAGCAACAATAACAGCATAGTTTCTTAAAGTAGAAAACCACCACCTGACTTCCTTTACCTTTCACAATCCACTGAGACTCCAGGGGTAACGTTTTCCAACTTCACCCTAAAGAGAAACATCTCTGACGACTCTCATGCCCTCACACCGTACCTGTATTTCTTCTGGTTTTCCTTTGACACTGAACTCCTTAAAACTAGCGAAAAACCGGAAAAGTTTCTTTAACTCTCCACGCTCCAACCACGTCGTAAAATCCTTTGTTGGTGTCCCCCAGGCTGCCTCAGAGGTTCTCCGATTCTTTTTCCTGCAAACGGCACAGTTGCTTTGGCAAGCTGATTGGCCAGTTTGGTTCCCGAGGTATCAGTTTGGTGAGACGTGGAAGGGAGTTTTACATAAAGCACTTCCAGACTGAATTAGAGCAGCCTTTTTCTGTAAAGCAAGGGGTCCTCGTAAAACTCCAGGCAGAATGAATGACAGAGCATTAGCCAATAGGAAGTGGAGAGCAGTATTTTGCCAAAGTTTGCAATCCAATCGTTGGGAACCAGAGGTGGGAATTTTAAAATTGGGTTGTCTTTTCCTTGCAAATTTCTTAAAGCGGTATCACTGCCTGTTCACCTTAAACTTTGTCAAAGCTGGGAAAGCCACAGGCTGAAGCCACAGGGTTTCTTCCCACTTGAAGTGAGACGCAGGGTGCAAAGTGACCACCCACAAACACAACTTCTGAGAGGTCCCAGGAGCACAATCGCGTCGGAGGGCTGGGCAACTTTTCTGTCAGTTTGGGGAGGAAATAAGTAATTTCAACTCACTTTTGATGACCAGATCAAAAAGCTGGGACTTTTAGACATGTTCTACTGTTAATCCATTTTTAGAAAAGTTTCTTCCAGTTTAGCAGCAAGTCTTATTATTTGGGTTGCTCTTTAATATTCGGGATTTTTATTTTGGCATCAATCACATTTCCCGGTCCTAAGTCCAGCAAAAAAAAATAAATGAATAAAATAAAATAAAAAATAAAAACAAACAAACTCCGAGTACCACAAATCCCTAGGCATCATGAAACGGTACAAAAGGTTGTAGAAAAACATGACACACACTAGGCCGTACAGTTCAGCAACGAATGAGGCCAGATTTAGCCAATAATCGATACTTAACTACATCTCAGATCTTGCTGTGGACCTGGTGTTGCTCTGTAGGTCACTCAGCTCTGGAGCAACTACACCAATGAAAGATCAGCTCAGTGTATGTGAAGTTAAGGTTGCCGGACCGTGAGCTTCCAGCAAATGAACAGCCCCCCTCGCTTCTCCAAGGACGAGAACTGAGCGGTTTCAGGCAGGAAATCGTAAAAAAAAAAAATCCTTGCAGAAGGAAGCTGCCGCAGTCATGAGGACGACGCTCAAAGGCACGCGCTTTTAGGCGAAAACGACCCCGAATACTCGGGTTTTTTAAGCAGCACAGACCCTGCCTGCCTTCGCCGCCGTTCTCCGCTTCAGCAGCTGCTCCTCGCAGCAGACCCAGCCTGGCAGGGCGGCGGGGCGGATGCCGGCTGGCCCCTCGCAGCCGTCGGGCCGGACAGCACCGGCCCCAGCGGCGGCCGCTCCTGCTACGGCTGCAGCACGGCCCTCAGGACGGCCATCAGCGCTCGCGATCCCTCAGCCATGCGTCGGTGAGAGCCGCACAGCCCGGCGAACGTCTCGGGGAAAGCGCCGGCCCGCTCCCGGCGGCTGCCCGCCTGCCCCCGGCTAGACCACCGCTAGTGGATCCCAAGCCCAGCGCGTCTCTCCCCACCACGAGCCCCGGGGCGGAGCCGGAAGCAAGAGCAGCGCCGTGGGCGGGGCTAGTGCGAGGGAAGCCGTGCTGTCGGCCAATAGGCACATCGCTGGCAAAGAGGCGTGGTATCGCGAGGTTTCGCCTTCCCGTCCGCGTCCCCCAACTCCCGGGAGCGAGGGTTCCGCCCCGCCCGGGCCCCGCCCCCGCCGCCGCGCCCCGCCCCGCCCCCGGCCTCGCTTCCAGCCGTCCAGCGCCGCCTGCGCTCCGTAGCGCTGGCTCCGCCGGCACCCTGAGGTGAGTGCCGCGGTCGTCCGCGTGGCCCGGCTTCCCGGCGGGGACCCGCCACGGAGGCGGTCGGGCCACGCCGGGTGGGAGCGCGGGGCCTCGGGCGGCCGCGGCTGCCGGGGGCTCCTCGGCTCGCGCGGCCCGCGGACCTGGGACCCCCGGGGAACGGGTCGGTGAGCGGGCAGGCGCGGGGCTCGCCGGGGCCAACGCGTGCTGGGGCTGGGGCGGACGGCCCGGGGGACAGCCTGGACGCGTGCCTTTCGGGTGCACTGGCGCCGCCGGGCCCTGCGCGGGGCGTGCTCGCTGAATCCGGGCCGGGGAGGGCCGGCCGAGGGACGCCTCTCCGCCAAAGTAGCCTGCGTTCGGGGCGCGGGCCCGGCCGCCGCGGGAGGGCCGTGCGGTTGCAGCGGGAAGACGGTGAGTGGCACCTGCCTGGAAGCCGGCGTCGTGCGCGCCTGCCTGGGCCGTAGCCGCGGCCGCTGGGCGGGGGGCTGAGGAGGGCAGCCTGGTAGAGAGCCGGGGCGTCGGCACGGTCGGTCCTGGGTGGCACCTCGGCAGGGGTGGTGAGGACTGGGGCACTGGCCGCGGCCGGAACGCGCGCAGGGCGAGTGTGGACTCTGGGTGTAGATCGGTGCAGAGCAAGCCCGCCACGGGTGTCAGCTCTGCCTGCTGGTCCCTCGCCGGTCCCCCTGCCCTGGGGGCGCGGCGCGTTCCCCTCACCATGAGCCGCGCTCAGGAGTGTCCGCTGCAGGACTGAATGAATAGTGGGGCAGCGATCCCGTGTTGGGTGGCGAGTCTCTAGTCAAGTGGTCTTGAGGTAGGTCCCTCCTCGAGGTAGTGATCCTGCAGTGCTACTGCGAAACGTGCCCGAATTCTGCCCCTTCGCGCCGTTTGACAGCTTCCTCTGGGTCGTGGCCGGATACAGGTGCGCGGGCGTGGGGACAGCAGCGGGATTTCTGACTCTTGGCTGGATTGGCCGTCAGCAGGTGCACCCATAAATAGATAACGAACAGTGAAGCGTCTTAAGGAAAAATCAAGTGGTGGCCGGTTGGGGCCAGGGAAGTGATTTTAGGTGAAGCCTGGAGGGTGTTGGCGCTGCTTTCCAGCTCAAGAGAACAGCAGGTGCCGTGAGGCGCTTGGTAGCTTCAAGGACCAGACAAGCCGGGGCGGCTGGTGAGAAGCCGTGGGCAGTGCAGCAGCTGAGGTGGGAGAAGTGGGCCGGCCAGATGGCGAGGAGCCGGGAGTGCCTGGCAAGAGTTTGAGTTTCCAGGGACGAAGCTCCTGGGTTTAGTAAGCGGCGAGCCTGCCATCGTGAGGTGTAACTAGACGCCGAGGCACGCTGCAGTGATTGGCGTGTGGAGGTGAGCAGAGTGGACATGGGGAGACCCCTGGTACATGGCAGGCAGGAGATGACAGAGGCTTGTGTTTGGCAGCTGCAGGATGTGGTTGGGTTTGAGGCGTGTTTTGGATGTGGGGACCATGAGCCTTGGGATGGATTAGAAGTGGCAGATGAATGAGGATGTGGGATTGTGAAATCCAACTTTCTGGCTTGCGATTCTTAGGTTACATTGGGACGGTTATTGATTTTTCTCACAAAGATTTAGTCTTTTGTTAAAAATGGCGAGCTCGGCCGGGCATTGTGGTGCAGTCAGTTAAGCTGCCACCTGCGATGTCCACATCCTACTGTATCGGGGATGGCTTCGAGTCCTGGCTACTCCGCTTCCCACTCAGCTCCCTGTTAATCTGCCTGGGAAGCAGCAGATGATGGCTCAAGTTCGTGGGTCCCTGCCATCCACGTGGGAGACCTGGATGGAGTTCTCGATGCCGGACTCAGCTGGCTCCAGCCCCAGGGGATGCAGCTAACTGGGGAGTGGACCAGCAGATGGAAGATCTCTGTCTCTGTCATTCTGCCAAATAAATAAATAAATTTTCTTGAAGACAAGCTCTGTCTTAGGAATGAGTTTGGAAATAATAGAAAATATCCAAAAAAAGTATGATTGTGTTTGTTGAAGGCTTATGTTGCTGAATTTTGCGCTTGTTTGGTGTTAATTCCTGGTGAAAATTGTTTTTCATAAGAAAAAAGGATTTTTTTAAGTTACTGTGAGTTTGGAAGAGATGCCCAAGAAGAGTAGAATCTTTGAGCAAAGCTCAGCTTCTTTGTAGTTGCTCTTGGTACCCTGCGGAATCCCGTGAGTTAGTGTTTTAAGGAACCCAGGCTTTGAAATCCACTGGGCCCAACATCAAACCCTTGCTTTTATCCTTTATGAGCTGTTTGACCTTGGACAGATTCTGGAAGCCGGAGTCTGTTCCTTGTTGTGTTAAGTGATGGTGAAGTTTGTTTCAACTCCTTGCCATGTGGATAAGATGGCAAATGATACTTCTCTTCCTGCCTTTGTCAGCTAGTAGAGAATTTAAAATAATCTGTCCTGGACGCGGGCCTTTAAACCAATCCATTTTATTTTATCTATTTTAAAGTAGATTTCTTTAAAAAAAAAAACTGGCCGGCACCGCGGCTCACTAGGCTAATCCTCCACCTTGCGGCGCCGGCACACAGGGTTCTAGTCCCGGTCGGGGCGCCGGATTCTGTCCTGGTTGCCCCTCTTCCAGGCCAGCTCTCTGCTGTGGCCAGGGAGTGCAGTGGAGGATGGCCCAAGTGCTTGGGCCCTGCACCCCACGGGAGACCAGGAGAAGCACCTGGCTCCTGCCATCGGATCAGCGCGGTGCGCCGGCTGCAGCGCGCCGGCCGCGGCGGCCATTGGAGGGTGAACCAATGGCAAAAGGAAGACCTTTCTCTCTGTCTCTCTCTCTCACTGTCCACTCTGCCTGTCAAAAAAAAAATAATAATAAAAAATAAAAAAAAAAACACTTTATTTCTTTAAAAGGCAGAGAGACAGAGAAAGCACTCCCATCCCGTGGGTCACTCAGCAAAGGCCTACAGTGACCAGGGCAGAAACAGTACCAGGAATGCCGTCCCGCTCTCCCATGTGGGTGGCAAGAACTCGGTTACGCAGGCATCACTGCTGCCTTCCAGGGTCTGCATTGGCAGGAAGGAGTAAGGAGCTGGGGCCAGATATGAACCTAGGTACTCCAGTGTGAGATGTAGGGATGTAGGTGTCCTAACCGCCAGGCTGAACTCCTGCCCTCTTATCTTACACATTAGGACCTAGGTACTCCAGTGTGAGATGTAGGCGTGCTAACCACTAGGCTGAACTCCTGCCCTTTTATCTTACACATTAGGCAGCTGAGGCCCTTAGAGACTGTGACAGAATAATACAAGGTTCTGGTTTCCTAGTGCAGTGCTGCTTCTGTCATTGAAATGATTTAAAATAATTGAACTGTGACCCTGGGCCTATTTTTTATTGCTACTTATGATAATCTGCAGTGTTAAAAAGGAAGATAAGAATAGGCCGGCACCGCGGCTCACTAGGCTAATCCTCCGCCTAGCGGCGCCGGCACACCGGGTTCTAGTCCCGGTCGGGGCGCCGGATTCTGTCCCGGTTGCCCCTCTTCCAGGCCAGCCCTCTGCTGTGGTCAGGGAGTGCAGTGGAGGATGGCCCAGGTGCTTGGGCCCTGCACCCCATGGGAGACCAGGAAAAGCACCTGGCTCCTGGCTCCTGCCATCGGATCAGCGCGGTGCGCCGGCCGCAGCGCGCCGACCGCGGCGGCCATTGGAGGGTGAACCAACGGCAAAGGAAGACCTTTCTCTCTGTCTCTCTCTCTCACTGTCCACTCTGCCTGTCAAAAAAAAAAAATAAATAAATAAAAAATAAAAAAATAAAAAAAAAGGAAGATAAGAATAAAAAATGAAAGAGTTAGATAGACTATAGGACAATAGTTAAGTGCTAGAAAATGAAGAAATGACGCTGTTAGTGATCTAGAAACAAATTATAGTTTAACATCTTTTCTTAATATTTTTGAAATGCTTTAAGCTAAATGTGAAATGAGGTAGTTCAAGAAGGGAATGGGAGGGGCCGGCACTGCGGTGTAGTGGGTAAGGACACCGCCTGCAGTGCTGCATCCTATATGGGTGCTGGTTCGAGTCCCAGCTGCTCCACTTCCAATCCAGCTCTCTGCTATGGCCTGGGAAAGCAGTAGAAGATGGCCCAAATACTTGGGCCTCTGCACCCATGTGGCAGACCCGGAAGAAGCGCCTGGCTTCAGATCAAGCCCAGTAGCCACTTAAGGAGTGAACCAACGGATGGAAGATCAATCTCTCTGCCACTGCCTTTCAAATAAATAAATCTTTTTTAAAAAGGGGGATGGGGGATGGGGTTTGCTGCATTTGGTTTTTAAGTGTTTCCTTTAGTTGCTTGTTAAGAAAGGCCTCTGTTCTTCCAGACAAGGATTCCTATCTCAAGTGGTTTTTTTTTTTTTTCCACTAGGGATATATCTAATCATTATTTAACATGCACTTAATTATCCTCTAAATCTATTGCAGGCAGTCTTTGTTGTTATTAAAGAAGGATGTGGGATTGGGTGCGTGATGGGATTTGTACTGTCTGTCCGTATGTGGCTGTTTGCTAGCAGGCTTACCTGGCAGTGCTTCTAAGTACCTCACAGTGATTCTCCTCTCTGTTCTCTCTGTAGACATGGACCAATCGGACGGGATGTAGCCCTGCGGGGGCCTGATGGGATATGTTCAGTCATGGCGTCAGAGCTTTCTAAGACGATCTCTGTGGCAAGGCAAGAGAAGCACAAGAATCTGTTCCTAAATTACAGGAATCTGCACCATTTCCCGCTGGAGTTGCTGAAAGATGAGGGGCTGCAGCACTTGGAGAGACTGTATATGAAAAGGAACTCCCTCACAACCCTGGTACAGTATTGCATTGTGTTTCCAAGACCAGTTGCAGGTGTGGCCCTGACCGGGCTGTGTTTCACATATCCTGAGATATTCAGACGGCGGTGTATTCCCCCGTCTTGTTATATGCTCAGGTGATAGAAAAACACACACAGGGGCTTCTCGTTGTCTGTGAATCCAGTACTCAAGTTCCTGCAGTTGTGAGGCTGTGGGAGGAGTGTATAGAAAGCCGGAGTTTCCACCTGCGGTACCACAGATGAAATCAGTTCCCACTCACAGCCACGTTTCCTTTAGCATGTGCGTCTAGACTGGCTCGTGCTTCCGTTGTGTGTTGAGCTTCCTAGGTGGTTCCTGGATGTTAGAGCGCCCAACAGGCTGGTTAAAAAGTAAGTGAGGAATCCCTACAGGGAGGCTTTGAGGTCTGAGCCTGAAGAAGAGTGGCTGAAGACTGAAGTGTCAAGAGGGGCATTTGGGAAGCCTAAGCATCCTTTGGTTGTTTTGATACCAAAGCAGGGCCTTCTTTATTATTGACCTGTGAAGAACAAATGCTTTGGAATTGGGCTGTCATAGAATCTTTTGCAACAAGTTGTGCCACAAAAGCGGCATTTGAAATCATTGTTTTTATGTTCTAAGAAAAAGCACATAGTGTTAATTATAACCTAAATTTTATTATACTTGAAATAAGCTATTTAATAAGCTATTTAGATTTTTTTCCAAGAGAATATCCCAATGAAGTTTTTTTTTATTCACAATATTCACTATAAAATTTGGTCTCTGATTAAAATGGATATACTGTGTGGTGTTTTCTGATTATTACTTAACCTCATTTGAATTTTGTACTTGATTGTAGTTCTCATTCATTTTAGATGATTTTTGATATAGTGTTTCTTTGTGAATTGGCCTATTTTTTCCCCTTGTTTGTATTGTACTTTCCATATATTCATTTCCATAATTTTCATTATTATGAATAATTTTCATTATGAATTATTTCATTCATTTCCAAAATGAATGTATGGAAAGTAATCTTACTGGCTTTGTATATTTGGTATGTTTTCTCAGAAAAGTTTTATTAAACCAATGTGAAATACCTACAGAAGTAGCAAGCCTTATAACATTTATTTATTGTCACAGTATCTGGAAGTAAGGGGATATGTATATTTCATTTTGCTTGGAATACTGGTATATATGTAATGCTGAGTGCTTACATTTTCTTAAGATTTATTTATTTGAAAGGTAAAATGATGCAGAGAAAGAGGGAAAGACAGAAAGAGATCTTCCATCCACTGATTCACTCCCCAAATGACTGCAATTGCCAGGTTACAGCCAGGAGCCCGGAGCCCCATCTGGGTCTTCCACATAGGTGATGGGGGCCCAAGTGCTTAGGCATCTTCTTCTTTCCCAGGCCGTTAGCAGGGAGCTGGATGAGAAGCAGAACAGCTGGGACTTAAACTGTCACTCTGATGCGGAATCCTGATGTCACAAGTGGAAGCTTAATCCACTGGGCCACAATGTGGGCCCCCTAGTTATGTTTTCAAAATTAGCTTTTTCAGTTTTCAAAAATGGAAAATGTTATATGAATGCTTTTTTGTAATGTCATCATCAGATTATGCAAAACCATATTTAATTAACTGTTAGTCTGTTTTGCCAAGGATAGCCCTAGTCCCACCACACTGTCCCCTTTCAGTGTACAAAGAAAAACTTGTGGGTGGATTGCTTCTTCGCTGTCTGCCATAGCCATCGGAGGGGAGACTTTCTTCTAAGAAATCCACCTTTGCTTATAGAAGTTAGAATAAACATTGGCTCTGTGTGGTTTCCAGCTGTAGTTGTCTGTTTATGAAGGTACCTGAGGGTCCTCTCTACCCTTTAAGTAGCTGTTCATGGGGCTCATGGCATGCGTTTCAGTTCCTGCTCTGCCACTTTTTTAATATCAGAGATTAAATTGTTGCACATTTTTAAAATGCTAAGGGTATGTGTTTTGTTTTAATTGCTTTCTCTTGGCAGTTAAAACACTGAATCACTTGTGTCAAAGAAATTTGCCAACTATAAAGTACTGTGCAGAGCTCCAGGGTAGCAGCAGTCACCAAAGCCATGCCCTGATTATGTCAGATGTGGCTGCTTACTGCCACACGTGAGACAGTGCGTGTCCTTGATTGCTCTGAGCCAGCGGCTCTGAGTGCTGCTGGTGTAGGCAATTTGGTAACAACTGCAGCACTCTGGGGGAGGATCACTGAGATACTTAGTCTCTCAGACACTTTGTGGTTACTTGGCAGCCTCCGAATTGTTTTCAGCAAGCTTTGGCACCTGGCAGTGACTGCCATTTTCATGTTGTTTCATTGTTCCGCATTAATGTTGTTTCATTGTGTTAAGTGCCTTGTGGGCGTTCTCTTCCTTTGCCCCGCTGCCCCTCCGCCCTCCCGGTTGGAAGCCTCGTGGTGAGAGGCCATCACTGGCACACAACCTTGCCTTTCTTCTGCCCTCAGGCCCTGGCTTGCACAGTGGATGCTGTGTGTCAGATGTCCAGGGGCAGTGCCCATGTTTACAGCTAGAGCACTGGGGGAAAAGTGTCTTTCTATGCATTTGAAAGAGCACACTTTTCATTTTCGAAGTATAGAAGTGGTAGATGTCCTTATGTCAGGCCACATAGAGGAATATCTGGAAAGCAGTTTCTGTCTCCTGTCTGTTTTGTGATGTACTCAGTGTTAGCAGGCTGTATCATTCTGTCTTGGTCCATTCTGGCTGCTGTAACAAAATAGTGTTCACTGAGTGATTTATAAATAACACAGGTCTACGTCTCCCCGTTCTAGAGACTGGGGTGTCCAAGATCACAGCACTGGCAGATTCAGTGTCTGTGGGGCCACTTCTGGTGTTTGTATGACGTCTTCTCACATGGCAGAAGGGGCAGAGGGTCACTCTTGGGCCTCGATTACAAGGACACTTAGTCCCATCCGTGAGGGCTCTGCCCTCCTGACCTGATCACTCCCCAAAGCCCTGTACCTTAATGCCCTGACCTTGGAAATTCGGCCTATGAACATTTAGGGGGACTGGGGACAAACATTCAGATCAAAGCACCTTCTGTTCCCTTGCTTTTGTTATGTAATTGTTTATTCTCTCCATTTTTTTCTTTTTAACAATGAAAATACAATTATTATACATATTCCCCTGCATATTTTTTAATTCCATGATACTCTCATGAATATCAGTAGATATTCATACATCCTTATATGTGCATATGTATTTATGTTTAGGAATGCCTCAAAGTATGGTTTCTGGGTCAAAGGGTAGATGTATTTTATATTTTAAACTACCTTTAAAATTTTTAGACTTTCACCTTTATTTGAGAGAAAGATAAGAGAGAAGGCTGGCGCCGCAGCTCAATAGGCTAATCCTCCACCTTGCGACACCGACACCCCGGGTTCTAGTCCCGGTCGGGGTGCCGGATTCTGTCCCGGTTGCCCCTCTTCCAGGCCAGCTCTCTGCTGTGGCCAGGGAGTGCAGTGGAGGATGGCCCAAGTGCTTGGGCCCTGCACCCCATGGGAGACCAGGATAAGCACCTGACTCCTGCCTTCGGCCGTGGCGGCCATTGGAGGGTGAACCAACGGCAAAAGGAAGACCTTTCTCTCTGTCTCTCTCTCTCTCACTGTCCACTCTGCCTGTCAAAAAAAAAAAAAAAAAAAAAGATGAGAGAGAGAAACTTTTCACCTGCTGATTCTACTGCTTAATGCCCTCAACACCAACCAGGATTCCACAGCTCATCTGGGTCTCCGTGGATGGCAGGGACTCAGGTTCTGGAGGGTGTGCACCAGGAGGAAGCTGGATTGGAAGCCAAAGAATCTGGACTTGAACCAGGCACTTCAGTATGGACGTGGCTGTCCCAAGCGGTGTCCTAACTGCTGTGCCCAATGCCCGTCCCTACATTTTAAAATGTTTCTAAGCACTGTTTCATTATGCTCTACTATCATTTGTTTGTACAGCTGAGAAACCTTAAAACTTTTTTAAAGCAGCAGTTGGTTTATACAGAAATGTAGTTATGTAATTAAAAGGGGATTAAGAGGTAGTTAGGAAACATGATTTTTGTTCCATGTTTACATTAGAAATTCTAAAATGAACTTAGAAATTGTTCTAAAGGATCTTTGTATAATTATGTTAAATGCATTCAAGAATTAAGTCTGTGATCTTGGTGGTAGTTATAAGATAAATATGTCAATATGAGTAATATGGTAAACTTTCTTTTTTTTCTTTAGAAAGCTTTTATTTAATAAATATAAATTTCATAGGTACAGCTTTAGGAATGTAGTGGTTCTTCCCCCCATATCTGCCCTCCCACCCCTACTCCCGTCCCACCTCCTACCCCCTCTCCCATCCCATTCTTCATTAAGATTCATTTTTAATTATCTTTATATACAGAAAATCAATTCTATATTAAGAGGTCAGCAGTTTGCACCCACACAGACACACAAAGTATAAAGTACTCTTTCAAGACAAGTTTTACAGTTAATTCTCATGGTCCAACTCATAAATGACAGAGATCCTACATGGGAGCAAGTGCACAGTGACTCCTGCTGTTGATTTAACAATTGACACTCTTACTTATGACATCAGTGACCACCCAAGTCTCTTTTCATGAGTTGCCAAGACTATGGAAACCTTTTTGAGTCCACAAACTCCGACATTATTTGGACAGGGCCATAATCAAATTTGAAGTTCTCTCCTCCCTTCAGAGAAAGGTACCTCCTCCTTTGATGGTCCCTTCTTTCCACTGGGATCTCACTCACAGAGATCTTTCATGTAGGACATTTTTTTTTTTTTTGCCACAGTGTCTTGGCTTTCCATGACTGAAATACTCTCTTGGGCTTTTTAGCCAGATCTGAATGCCTTAAGGGCTGATTCTGAGACCAGAGTGCTTAAAGTTTCAAATATTTATTATTTCAAACTTTTATTACTCTATTGCTGCTGTGGTTCTTAATAAAAGTTTTGAAATCCATGCACAGTGTTTTCATAATACACATTTCTGCACT